GATCCTGGATTCAGCTTGTTAGCTGTAGACATTTAGAAGTTGTGTGTGTGGGGGTGGGTGGGGGGAGGTGGGGGCAGGGGAGAAATGCTAAGGCAATCATGTGATTCCCAGGGCATCGGAAAAGTCATCTTTAGACTAGACACAGTAGCTGTGCAGACGGTTGTTGGATTGAAACCGAGAGGGGGGGAGGAATGGAGCTAACGGTGATGAGTTCAAGAATAAAGAAAAGTCTCCAAAATCGGTTGTGGTGGTGAGCGCACAGCTCTCTTTGATATGGGAAGTCTACGTCAGTGACACCGAAAAGCCAGGAAGCAAACAGAAACAGTACAAATCACGAGCTTCTCTCAAGCAGAGGTATTTATTCCCTCTCATAGTTTGGGGTACAGGTTCACACCTGCTGTAACCCAGCAATGGCAACGCCTGGCTTTTTCTCCTGGGGCAGATGGGCGTCGCAGTGTCAACTGTAACTTTTTGACAGCATGCGTGCGTGCACTGAGAGATGTTTGTCATCGAGAAAGAAAATACTTTCTGCAAAGACTGATTTAAAGCACCGGGACCAAGTATGTGAAGAACGCATCCTTTCTGGTCTTACAGCTGTTTGAAAAGAAACGCAGTGCACATACTTAAAAGCCACGGAACCGTGCTTCCTGGGCTTGATGGAGAGGGGTCGCACGCACACTGCTAGCTCGTTTTCACCCCCTTTCCCGTGTCACAAGCGCCACCCGCCTCCAAAGATCTGCTGGCCAACTCCCCGGGCTAGCAGGCAGTGCTGGCCTTTGCTGTGCCGCGCTCTGGGTAGCCCGTCCTGAAACGCTGACCTTTTAGTTTAATAGCAGTCTTATTTGAGAGAACGCTCGGTTCCTGAGAGCCGCAAAGAGTGTTTTCCAAAAGGCCATTTACACCGCTGTCTCCACGCGGAATGCCCGTTCTCTGTGCTTCGGAGCGGGCCTCTCGGAAGAAACGTGTTGTTGCTTTCTTGTATTCTCTTGATTGAAAAACAACTAACAGGAAGCTTACATTTGCTCAGAGCCCATTACCACCCGGGTTCATTTTCCTGCCTATGCGTGATTTGCTCTTTGAGATTTTTTTAAGCCCTTCATGCTTGGTCATGTTTTATCTTTTGTTGTTTTAAATTCTCCTTTGCAGCTAAGGTAATTACTTTTTCATCTGTGACCTTGGACTTGAGACCCGAGAGTTCAGATTTTTTTTTTCTCCTCTTTTTCTCCTTCTCCTTTTCTGGAAATTGTTTGGGGATTAGGAAGTCAGCCCGGCCCTGGTCCCTGGTCTGGTATATAGGTAGTAGGGTCGCCTGCTTGACCTGCCAGCCCGTGGGCACGGGGTCTAGGAGCTGTTGGGAATGTTCCTGCTCTGTCCATTCCTAGTGCCTTCTTCCTGTCCTCTCTCAGCACCTGTCATGGCCTCATCAAAGTGGTCCCAGTTCTCTGCGGCACCTCACCCTAGCAGGTGGCAGGGGCAACAGGTAGGAGCGGGAAGGGCTCGGGAAAGAACAGACCGTCACCAAACCACATCTCTGTCTCCCCATATTGCCATTGCTCAGCTTCTTCCAACATGGGCCCCTTCCCACCCACCATACCCTCATTTCATCCTGGTCTAACTTTTAATGGGAAGCTCCCTGCTAGTCCCGGTTTCCCCCTGAGCCGGAGCCGTCGATGGATTGCGAAGGTGCCGGGTTGCTTCATCAGCTGGCTCAGTGCTTCCCACCTAGACCTGCGGCCAGAGCCCAGCACCAAGATAACCAAGGCCAGTGCCATCAAACGATGCCGGCTCCTGTTGACCCATCTCTGTGTGTGACAGAGTGGAAGTGCCCCATGAGGCTCTCTTGGCTGTAACCTTCACGAGGCAGATCGCCTGGCCTTTCAGCTGGGTGGGTGTGAACTGGCAACCTCCTTCTGGGGTCAAGTACAAACCATTTACAGAACCAGGGGCTTCTGAGTTTCCAGATAGGGCTGGGCTTTTTGTCTGAGTGGGTTTGCTGTGTTGGCTGGAAACCATCTAGGGGACTCGGTGTGGTTCTAGTTATGTGGATTGACCGTGTGTCTGTCCAGCGGCAGAGCACCGTTTGGTCCAGTGGTTAAAGCTGTGATGCCACGCTCACTTCAGTTGGGTCGTTTGTCCAGCCTCTGCCGCCTAAGGAGCTGCAGGCTGCAAACCACTTACAGACGCGGATTGCCTCCTGGGCTTTCTTACCTGCGAGGCTGTAGAGGGAGACCTGATGCTGAGTTAGGCCTGGAGTTCTGAGCTGGCCATCTCCTTGGTCCTCACTGGCCAGCCTGTCACCCTCTGGAGAAATGCCTGTTCACGTCTCCTGGCCACTGCTCAGTTGTGTCATTGCCTTCCGTGGTTGAGTTGTGAAAGTTCTTTACAAGCCTCTTGTTCATCCAAGGGATTATACCATTTCCTTTATATTTTTATCTCACAAGAACCCAGTTTTTGCATGAGGAAACCACAGCTTGGGTGGTGAATGGATTTAGGGGAAGTCTGTGCGGTGGAGTTGTGTACTCTTTTCAAGCTTGATCCGCGCTACACCATGAATCAGGCTTCGTGTGTGTGTGTGTGTGTGTGTGTGTGTGTGTGTGAGAGAGAGAGAGAGAGAGAGAGAGAGAAATTGGGAAACAATACTCCATTGTAGAGTTGCATTCATTCATTCATTCATTCATTCATCAGTTGGACATTAACTCGTCTTCACGCGGAGGATAATTGTGAGCAGTGCTGCTATCAACGTTCTTGTACAGGTTCTTATAGAGATAAGTGTTTCAGACTCTCCTGAGTGCATCTGTCTCCTGTACCTAGGAGTGAAAATGCTAGATCAGATGCTAAGTATGTTTAGTAACTAAGGAACTGCCAAACTATTTTCCTAAGCCATAGTGTCACCAATGACTAATGTGGCCTCCGGTCTCCGCCTCTCTCTGGTCTTATCCCTCTTGTAGTGTGTGGGAAGTGGCCCCTCACATGGCTTGACTTTTCCTTTTCCTAATGACTAATGATGGCGAGCAACTTTTCATGTGCTTCATGGCCAGTTCTAGGCCAGTTTCTCCTTTGTTTAATGGTTGGCATTTGCCTTTTTACTTTATAAGAGTTCATTACAAGCCTGGATCCAAGTCCCCTGGGATCCATAAGAGATTCGTCGATGGGGCTTCATAAAGTTTGTGGAAAAATTCCAGTATCTTTTAATTCCACCCCCCACCCCACCCCCTGCCCGACCCCGTTTTGCAGTTCCCTCATATGCCGTGACATAGTTTTCCTTGTTCGTTTTTTCTCTTTCAACAGTTGTATTGGCATCAAATTCACACATCATACAATTCAGCAGTTCAGGCACATTAAGAAGAGTTGTGTAAGCATCATCACAATCAGTTTTAGAGTATTTTCTTCAATCTTGTCCTCATGATTATGAGCTCCCCATTTCCCCTCAACCTCTGCTGCCCCAACCCTCAAGGAACCATGAATCCAGTGACCGTCTCTAGATACCTATCCTGGATTGCATACACAGAAAGATATTACAAGAAAATAAATGACAACAACAAAAACTAACGAGAATAACAAAGTAAAACAGATCAAAACCTTAATGGACAAGAAAGCAGCGAGTGTTAAAAACTAGAGCGAAGTAAAAGGGGTCACAAAGGAGCTCAGATGACCGGGTGCTAACTCCCTCCTTGAGTTGCCTTTTCCCTGGGTTGATGCCATCTTTCTGCGGCTGTCTGTGGAGATGCCCATAAGCCACACCCCTTGAGACCTCTCATTTATCTTCCTTGCTATTGCCCTCTGGCTGCTAAATATTTAAAGAGGTTTCTGCATATGGTACTGTGAGTCTTCCTTTGCCTCTGTCCTGAAGCAAGGTGCTTAAAATTGGTGGGGTCATTCAATAATGTGTTCCCCAGAGCATAGAGAGCCCTGGCCAAGATGCCCATCCTACAGTCTCAACCAGGTGAAGAGCAGTTAGGGACCGCATGCACCCAGGAGCCTCTCTCCCAAGAGATTCTGGGGCTTTCTTGTCCGCATCCCTCGTGGGTGTGAAAGAAGAAATCGTTTCTGCTCGTTTCTCAGGAAAGCTCTCAGGAAGTCTACGAAAGGTGTCTGTTTTGCCACACTGTAGCTGTAAGGCTGTTAACAAAAAACATACCACACAGAATCTTCCCATTGAAAACACCAGATGTTTCCAATCAAAGTCCCCGGGAACTTACAACCCTCCAGCTTGTCCTCAGCTCCGCTCTGGGTCTCTCTGTAGTTGTGGGCACTGGAGTCTGAATTACAGGCATCAAAAAATAAAAATTAAAGTTTCGAAATTATTGCCTTCCCTTTTCTCATAAGTTACAGGCAATACAGATGGGTCTCTCTGGGTGCCTTGATTGAATGCTTAGCTATCAAAGTGGTAAGAGTTGGGCATCATTTTCCCTCATCCAGCCCCTCCCTTTATTAAAACCTCTCCTGCCCTTCCTGGCCCTTGTCACATGCTAATGATGGGACATCATTTTAAAGAATCTGGACCGAATGACTGACTCAGTCCCCACTGGGCAGTAAGCAGCTCCCTGAGTTTATTATACATTTTGGCAGGTGTAGAAATTTCTAGGTCACCAGGGAGCTCTTGATTAAATTATTCTTGAAGGGCACTAATTGGCCTTTGCCATAGTGCTTAGGTAGGTCCCAGGAACCCTGGTGGCACAGCGGTTAAGCGTGCGGCTGCTAACTGAAAAGTCAGCCCCTCCAGCCAGCCCACCACCAGCTGCTCTGGGGGAGAAAGGGGTGGCAGCCAGTTTCGGGCAAGATGACTCTCCTGAGAAGCCCTCTTGGAGGGCAGGTCGTCCTGTCCTGCGGCATTGTGATGGGTCGGAATTGGTTCTGGGCAGGTCATACCGAGGAAAGACAGACCCCTGGCAGGACTCTGCCCACTACGCTGAAGCCTCGGGTTCACTTTCCGATGATGTTGCTTGTTAGCTTTTGGAAGACGCCTCATTCTCTCCCCTGCCCCTCTTTATTGATCCTAGTTTCCGAAGAAGACTTGAGAAGAAGAGTGGCCCAGGAGCTGGCACTGGAGCAAGCGAGGAAAGAATCGGAGAAGCAAAAGCGGTGAGCGTTGTGGTTCCCCTGGCATGTTGGCGGACCTGCCAGTTACCACATCTCTGTAGGGAGGAACGATGGTAATCAGAATCATGATTTGTCTGTGGCTGAACTCTGGGCTGCCTTAAAAATGGATAGCCTGGCTGTTTTAAGATTTGTATTATACTAGTAAAGCCGCTAAGGAACCTTGCTTGGTGGTGCTGTGGTTATGCATTGGGCTGCTAACTGCAAGATCAGTAGTTCGAAACCACCAGCCACTCTGTGGGAGAAAAAGGAGGCTTTCAGCTCTTGTAAAGAGTTACTTTCAAAAACCCACAGGGGCAGTTCTACCCTGTCCCATAGGGTCCTTATGAATTCAGAATTGATAGTGTTGAGGTTTTTTGGTAAAAGCCCCATGTTGCCCTCTTCCCAAAGTGGAACTTAGATGACCAGTATAGGTAGATCTTGGGTTGGCTGTGGGTTGGCTTCCAGACTACCAGTATTTTGTTATCATAAGACAAGTGAGCACCTGCATTTTGGGTTTCCCAGTCCGTATAAAATTTATGCCAGCTTTGTACTCTAGGCTCTTAAGTGCACAGTAGCACAATGAAAGAGTTGGAAACACTGAGAATGACCACATGGGACACAGATGTGCAGTGAGCACCTGCCATTTCACAGAGATGTGAAAGATGGCACCGATAGGCTGGCGGGACGTGGGGTTGTCACAAACCTTGAACTTGCACAGTGTCTGTGCAGAGCACTGGAGTGGAGTGCCGTAAAAGGAGGCCTGCCTGACTAGCCTGTCTGTAGGTCTCAGTAGCGTAAATATACAGTGGGCGACACGTGGGGCTGCTAATCACAAAGTCAGCAGTTCAGACCTGCAGGAGAAAGGTCAGCTTTCTACACCGTAAAGATTTACAGCCTTGAACACCCCAAGGGACAGCTCCACTCTGCCCTGTAGGAGAGCTGAGTCATAATGAAGGGGTGGCAGTGAGTTTGGTTTGGGAGTGTGGTTTTCTCGGCAGGTGATAAGGAGTTCTTGAGGATTCTCTAAGTCATAGGTTCTCACACTTAGGTGGCTTACTGTCCCCTTTTCAAAAAAAGAAAAAATTACATAGAGTTCCCTTGGCAATGAAAAACTTTTGTACTGCAGCCTTTAATTGTGGATCAATTGTAGGTCTCTGATGATTGTGCAGCTGCCCCAACCCGCCTCCGCCATTTGCTCCATGGCCCCCCAGCAGTATTGGGCCTACTTTGGGCCAAAAGGCTCTAGGCATTTCTCAGATTCCTTCCTGTAAATGAGTGCATTTATGATGGAAACGGGGCAGTCTGGTAAACAGTATTGTAATTAATGATGAATGTTCTGTCGCATACAATGCCTGGATTAACAAATGGAAGTCATTAGTAAAATCTACTTACTTAAGACAATTGGCCTGACAGAAGTGTGTAACGTCAAATCAAAGCCCTTTATAATATAGCTGCTTCATTTGGGAATAATCCCCCTTTAAACAAAAACAGCCCGGTCCACCAGCAGACCCACCGCCATGGAGTCGCTTCTGACTTGACGAACTCACTTTGGGGGCTCCCCCCCTTTTTCCTGCCCTATGGAGCGGAACTGGAACTGTCTGAGAGGGCATCGGAGGCGGGGACTCTTGGTAGGAGCAGAGAGCCTTGTCTTTCTCTCTAGCCGCTGGTGGGTTTGAACCCCCCCATGTTGCAGTTAGCAGCCTACCTCTTACCTTGCCTCGCCACCTGTGCTCTGTTCCGGTCGATGGATTTCGTGGAGACACTTGGGTACGGCTGCTGCGTTTAGTGCTCCCTGTCCCCCTCTCAGCCTGGAGAAGGCCCAGTGAAGTGTGTGTTTGCAGGCGTGGGAGACTGGGCGCAGTCAAAAGACCTCCGTGGGGCTGGGAGGAGTGGACTGTGGCAAACAATTACCTTGGGATGCTCGGCAGGCATGCACATCCTTATGTGCAGCCTTAAAAAGGCCACTTATGAAAAAAGTTTTTGTTTTTTTTTTTAATGGGAGAGGTAAAATGTCTGACTTTTTAAAGGCTTTTCAAGCCTATACTTATTCATAAAAGTATGTATGCATTATTCCAATGCGTCCCATCTGTGCATTTTCTGAAGTGTGCTTCTAACACAGTGCATTCTAGTGCCAACGGTGGATGCATATCATTTCTGCTCTGCGTGTCACACACGCGCCCACTGCCCAGGAGGAGAGGCTCTAGCCGTGTCCATGTGGGTCCTGTGTTGTCTCAACTCTTGCCAGCGAGAGCTAGGTGTGAACCAGGTGTACACCTAGCCTCTCATCCTCACTGGTCCCAGGACCGTGAGCATAAGCGGAACCTCCCTGGGCCTTTTATTGTACATCTCGAATGGAAGCCTTTGTTTGAACAGCATTCTGCTTAGACAAATGGCTCAGTGGGTTGGTTACATGGTGAGCTGCTAGCTGCAAGGCCAGCTGTTCGAACCCACCAGCCGCTCTGTGGAAGAAAGATCAGGCCATCTTGGAAAGTCGGGGTGCGGGGACGGTTCTGCTCTGTCCCACAGGGTGGTTTTAAGTGGAGGTGGGTTCGATGGTAGAGGGTAAGCTTATGTCGATTTGCATTAACCTGCGGGACAGACCATGAAATTCAGGATGGGACATGGGATTCTTGGGGACACTGTGTGTGTGTGTGTCTGTATCTGTCCTGAGGTTTGAAAGTCAAAATATGATTAGTGCAGGGAAAGGTGTCTCAGTGCATTTTCAGTGGTTTCCAATGCAATCCTGTACAATTGTTTAGGTGGGAGAGGTTGGTGGATCATATACTTTGATAGTGACCTTTAACTCTTTGTTAAACCCCCCCCCCCAAGAAATTCAGATGACCACTTTGATTAGCAGGCAATCAGAAGCCATGCATTCTGGCAGAATTTCGTGTCTTTGAGATTTTATGATGACTTTTCGTGTGGTTTTATTTTAATCAAGGCTTTTGGGCGGTTCTCGCATATTTATTGGGTCTATTAAGTGTCACACAGGAATAATAGGTTTTCGTTTTTGGTCATCCTTTCTTCCCAAATGATGCAGTGTGTTCCACATGAACTCACTTTGGGGGCTCTCCCCCCTTTTGTTATTCAACCGCAGTTTGCTCTGCCACCATTTCTAGAAGGGAAAGGACAGGTGAGGTGAAGAGAAGGTGTGAGTGAAAGCCACCTTCCTGTCTCAGGAGGCTTGGGGCTGGCAACCTCACTGTGATGAGACGAATGAGTATTGATAAAGGATTTGTTTTCTGTCACCTTGAAAGAGGGCAGAGGCAGGTGGTGGGCAGCCTTTTCTATTATTTTTCTCCCCCCACCCCTAAAAAAAAGCTTCAAGCCTTCTTTATGAAAACTTCCCGCTGTCAGACCTTGGTAAAAAAGTGTGTGTTCATCTATATCATAGTTCTTAAAAGAATCAATAGCTATCTTTCTTTTTTTCCTTTACCAGAAAAGAAGCCTGCAGGAAAAGCCTTGGGAATATTGTATGTGCAATATTTGAAACACTTTTAGAATCACAGAGCCTGTGATGCTGGCTGTAGCTGTTGAGTTAATGAGATAAAGCCTTGTCAGCAGTTTAGGGAAGTGGTTCTGTGTGCCTTTGCCATTTGTAGGGGTGTGCTTACCAAATCACATGGTCTCCCTTCGGAGTCTCCCGTGTCTTATGCCGGTACTCAGCCTGACCAGCCCAGACTTGGCTCCTGTTCACAATTTTGGACATACGCTTGATTTGATATTTCTCTGTATAAACTAGTCATTTTATCATGTAATCTTTGTTATTATCTCACTATCATCGAATCAATTCTGACTTGTAGTGGCATGTGTGTATGTGTGTGTGCATGCACATGCGTACACGTGCAAATCCTTATGGGAGCAGATAGCCTCGTTTTTCTCCAATAGAGCCACTGGTGGGTTTGAACCACTGACCCTACAGTTAGCAGTCCAACGTCTGCCTGGCGGCACCATTACTGTGTTACAGACCCATTGGATTTCCAGGGCTGTACATCTCTACAGACGCTGACTGCCACAGAGCAGCTGGGGGTTTGAAGCCACTGACCTCTAGGTTAGTAGCCAGGCATTTGCCCTCGTTCCACCCGGGCTGCGTTTACAAAGTCTCACAAAGAACAGTGGAGATTTGACTGGCAGCCCTGTGTCGACGTGTGTCCCAGCCTGTGGCTTCTTTGTGGACAGTGAGCAGTTGTTGGCAAAGTAAAACTCTAAACCCACTGCCACCCAGTTCATTAGACTCACAATGACCCTACAGGACAGAACAGAACTGGCCTTGTAGGCTTCTAAGAGTGTTAATCTTTACAAGAATAGGAAGCCTCATCTTTCTCCTGCTGGCAGTTTTGAACTGCTGACCTTCAGGTTAGCCACCCAACGAGTAACCCACTCTGCCACCAGCATGATCTGCAAAATATTCCTCGATGTGCTCGGACATGTCAGAGAGTCTTCCTTAGTACAGAAACCCTGGTATTTGTTTCTTATTAACCCCACTTCCTCCCTACCTTCCCCCCTTGCCTGTGCTTTACGTGCAGAACTGAGACTGACCGCATCTGGTGCTCGTCAGTCAGCAGTTCTACCTCCACCTCACTCTTGCTGCCGTTCAAGCGGTCCTTGTCCATTTCACGGGCCAGCGCCTTCCTGTAACTGACCATTGTAGCAGGTTGGATCGTCCACTCACACCTTTTCACTTCTTGGTTTTCCTCCAAATCAGTTTCCTCTCGGATTGGTTTTGAGGCACTGCATTGGCACCCTACCCCCGATCGTTTTTGATAAGCCGACCGGATGTTCAAACCCGGAGAAAACCCTGCAACAGTTATGTCTGCCGGAGAAATTTGGCACAGTGGCTACACACTGGGCTGCTAACTGCGAGGCCAGCAGTTCAAAAACCACCCTCTACTCTGCCGGAGCTGTAAGAGGTAGTCTCGGAAACCCACAGGGGCATTTCCACCCTGACCTCCAGGGCTGCTCTGAGTCGGAATCGACTCAATGCCAGTGAGTGTGAGAGAGAG